CGGAGTTGGGACAGGTTCCGGAGGTGTTTGGGGTGATTTTGGGGTGATTTTGGGATGTTTTGGGTTGATTTTGGGGTGTTTTTGGGGCGTTTTGGGATGTTTTTGTAGGGTTTTTTCTGGGGTGGGTTTGAGCCGGGATTTGGGGGCATTTTGGGATGATTTTGGGGTGATTCTGGGATGTTTTTTGGGTGTTTGGGGTGGTTTTGGGGTGATTTGGGATGATTTTGGGGTGTTTTGGATGATTTTGGGGTGTTTTCCCTCACTTCATGCCCTGCTGGAAGACGGAGTTGGGACAGGTTCCGGAGGTGTTTGGGTTGATTTTGGGGTGATTTTGGGGTGTTTTGGGTTGTTTTTGGGGTGGTTTTGGGGTGTTTTGGATGTTTTTGGGGTGTTTTGGATGTTTTTGGGGTGTTTTGGATGTTTTTGGGGTGTTTTCCCTCACTTCATGCCCTGCTGGAAGACGGAGTTGCGCCGGGTCTTGCAGATGATGAGGTCGGCCCACTGCACCACCACGATGCTGGCGAAGAACGCCGTGTGACACGTGAACTCCACCACCTTGCGCTGCTCGTACGTCTGCCCCGAGCAGGAGGAAACCAGGAGTAAACCAGGAGTAAACCGGGAGTAAACCGGGAGTAAACCAGGAGGAAACAGGGAGGAAATGGGGAGGAAACCGGGAGTAAATGGGGAGGAAACAGGGAGTAAATGGGGAGGAAACTGGGAGTAAATGGGGAGGAAACTGGGAGTAAATGGGGAGGAAACCGGGAGTAAACCGGGAGTAAACCAGGAGGAAACCAGGAGTAAACCGGGAGTAAACCGGGAGGAAACCGGGAGGAAACCGGGAGGAAACGGGGCAGAAACGGGGTGGAAATTGGATGGAAATAGGTGTGTAACTGGTGTGTAACCGGAGTGTAAGTAGGGTGTAATGGGTGTGTAACTGGTGTGTAATGGGTGTGTAACTGGTGTGTAATGGGTGTGTGACTGGGGTGTAACTGGGGTGTAATGTGTATGTGACTGGTGTGTGACTGGGGTGTAACTGGTGTGTAAGGGATGTGTAGCTGTTGTGTAACTGGAGTGTAACTGGGGTGTAACTGGGGTGTAATGGGTGTGTAACTGGGGTGTAACTGGGGTATAAGGGGTATGTAACTGGAGTGTGTAACAGGTGTGTAAGGGCTGTGTAAGGGGTGTGTAAGGGCTGTGTAAGTGATGTGTAAGGGGTGTGTAAGGGCTGTGTAAGTGATGTGTAAGGGCTGTGTAAGGGCTGTGTAAAGGCTGTGTAAGGGCTGTGTAAGGGCTGTGTAAGGGCTGTGTAAGGGCTGTGTAAGGGCTGTGTAAAGGCTGTGTAAGGGCTGTGTAAGGGCTGTGCAGGGGCAGTTTCGGGGTCCCTCACCCACTCCTGTCCGTAGGAATCCTCCAGGTCGTTCTTGGAGCGATCGTCCCAGGCCAGGCGGATCCCCAGCAGCGTTCCCGGCAGGAAGCCGTTCTCCGCCAGGATCACGAAGTACGTGAAGAACCCGCCCAGAGCCTGGATCATCCCTGTGGGATCGGGAATGGGATCGGGAATGGGATCGGGAATGGGATCGGGAATGGGATCAGAGCCATGGGATCGGGATCAGAGCCACGGGATTGGGAATGGGATCAGAGCCATGGGATCAGGAATGGGATCGGGAATGGGATTGGGAATGGGATCAGAGCCATGGGATCAGGATCAGAGCCATGGGATTGGGACCAGCATCCTTGGATTTGGTATCACTCCATGACCCTGCACTGACCGTAGGCGATGCTGATGACCCTGAGTGACCCTGTCTGACCCTGAGTGACCCTCAATGACCCTAAATGACCCCTGAGTGACCCCTGGGTAACCCTGAGTGACCCTCAATGACCCTCAATGACTCTGAGTGACTTCTGAGTGACCCCTGAGTGACCCCTGAGTGACCCTGAGTGACCCTGAGTGACCCCTGAGTGACCCCGAGTGACCCTCAATGACCCTAAATGACCCCTGAGTGACCCCTGAGTGACCCCTGAGTGACCCTGGGTGACTGTGAGTGACCCTGAGTGACCCCTGAGTGACCCTGAGTGACCCCTGAGTGACCCTGAGTGACCCTGAGTGACCACTGACCGATCTGGCCGTAGGCCATGCTGATGAGCCGCTCGTTGACCAGTTTGTCGCTGCGGGGGTTCCGCGGTTGCCGTTTCATGATGTCGCTCTCGGCCGCCTCGTAGGCCAGCGAGATGGCCGGGACCTGAGGGGACAGCGGTGTCACCCAGTGTCACCTCGTGTCACCCTGTGCCATTCAGAGTCACCCAGCGTCACCCTGCGTCACACCCGTGGCAGCCGATGTCACCCCAATGTCATCCCCTGATGGTGATACCCCCGTGTCACCCGGTGTCACCCGCTGTCAGCCTGTGACATACCCGTGCCACCCGATGTCACCCCATGGCACCCCAGTGTCACCCCTGTGTCATTGCCTGCCACTCTGCCGTCACCCTGAGTCACACAGTGTCACCTTGCTGCCACCCATCGTCACCCAGGGCCACCCAGTGACACCCTGGTGGCATCCGATGACACCCTGGTGGCACCCACTGTCACACGTCATGAGATGGTGCCCAGGGGCAGGAGGATTTGGTGTCCCTGGGATGGATTTGGGATGGATTTGGGCTCCCTGGGATGGATTTGGGATGGATTTGGGCTCCCTGGGATGGATTTGGGCTCCCTGGAATGGATTTGGGGTCCCTGGTTGGATTTGAGGTCCCTGGGATGGATTTGGGATGGATTTGGGATCTCTGCAGTGGATCTGGTGTCCCTGGGATGGATTTGGGATGGCTTTGGTGTCCCTGGGATGGATTTGGGATGGCTTTGGTGTCCCTGGGATGGATTTGGGATGGCTTTGGTGTCCCTGGGATGGATTTGGGATGGCTTTGGTGTCCCTGGGATGGCTTTGATGTCCCTGGGATGGATTTGGGATGGCTTTGGTGTCCCTGGGATGGATTTGGGATGGATTTGGGATGGATTTGGGATGGATTTGATGTCCCTGGGATGGATTTGGTGTCCCTGGGATGGATTTGGGATGGCTTTGGTGTCCCTGGGATGGATTTGGGATGGCTTTGGGATGGATTTGGTGTCCCTGGGATGGATTTGGTGTCACTGGGATGGATTTGGGATGGCTTTGGGATGGATTTGGTGTCCCTGGGATGGATTTGGGATGGCTTTGGGATGGATTTGGTGTCCCTGGGATGGATTTGGTGTCACTGGGATGGCTTTGGTGTCCCTGGGATGGATTTGGGATGGCTTTGGGATGGCTTTGGAGCCGTCGCTCACCATGTCGGTGCCCAGGTCGATGCAGAGGATGGTGACGGTGCCCAGGGGCAGCGGGATGTTGGCGATGATGAAGAGCAGGAACGGGGTGATCTCGGGGATGTTGCTGGTCAGCGTGTAGGCGATCGACTTCTTCAGGTTATCGAAGATCAGGCGGCCTGCGAGGGGACAGCGGTGACCCCAAAAATCCCCAGTGTCACCAATTCCCCCAAAATCCCAAATATCCCAAATATCCACAATGTCCCAAATGTCCTCAGTGTCCCCAATGTCCTCAATATCCCCAATGTCCCCAATGCCCCAGTGTCCCCAATGCCCCAGTGTCCTCAGTGTCCCCAATGTCCCCAATGTCCCCAATGCCCCCGTGTTCCCAATGTCCCCA